TTTTTTTTTTTAACTCACCAAGGCTGTATTTATTTGTATTTGTATACAGTATATATATACATAAAGTATATATATATTCTGATACTTCTTTCCATGCACAGTGCATGTTTTATGGTGGTATGAGAGCGCAGACCAGCGGGCAGCAATACGACATAAATCGCATAATAATGCCAGAGTGGTGGCGGTAGGTAAATCTTAAATATAGCTCATTACACCAGACATTATCATACCATTATAATCATTTTTGTCTCAGAAAAATAATTTTTAAAATATTTTACAGTTTGCTTTTTTTTTTTTTTTTTTTTTTTTTTTTACTTTTTTTTTTTTCTCCTCAACACCCCACCAGCAGTTCCTCTCTTTGTTTGTCTACTGCTAAAAATGCCATATTTCACCTTGAAATCCACTGAATTTTGCAAATAAACACAATCTGTAATGTCAGTAAAATAATAAAGTGTTCTCAGTGATAGCCAGATAGGGGGGTGGGGGGTGGGGTTAAAAGAGACTCTTTGTATTCATATTCGTTTTATAGGTTTTGGAAATTTTCTATTTTCACAGAACCATCACGTAAACAATAAAAACATTGGCCCTACACCTATATTATAAAATTATTTTTAAAATATTTTTTTTTTTTTTTTTTTTTTTTTTTTTTTTTTTACTGTTACTGTTTGTGTTTTTTCTCCAGTAAAGAAGAGTGCAGTGTACCTGGTGTCACAGAAGAACAAACGCATGTTCCCCTGTGCTTTCTCACCAATCAAATAACATGGCTTCATGGTTTGACTCCAAACTCAGGAAAATGTGAAGTGAAATTTGATTGATGCAGTGCGTGAGATAAGTGAACTGATAAACAAATTTAATTCTTGCAAGTTCCTTGAGAAGTTTTTGCTGATGGTCAAATAATGATTGTGAATCAAAATAATGCTTTACATCACATTAAGACTTCCATCCTCAAACTACTGCAAACTACGTCAGTGTTTCACAACATGTTATTATGTTTCTACAATAAATGCTTACATAATAAAATCAATTATAAATTCAGCAGTGTTATATTTGCATCGATTAGATGTAGTGATGTAATCTAGCTTCTTTTGGTTAAATTTTAAGCAGATTGACACTGAAAATAATTCATTTGTTGAATTTCCCAATGTGATGTCACAGATCAAACAGTATTAGGGTTGTAGAATTGTCATGATTTATTGTGTAAATAGACTAAGTGTACAAAGCAAGTAACAGACAATCCACAGCCATACATTTGAAATGTAAACAGGTATTAAATGAGGAACATCACTCTGGTACTAAAACCTTTTGTCATTTTAGGTTTTTTTTTTTTTGGTTCTTTCGTTTTGGTTGAACCCGAACCAAAACTAAACAATAAATGAAAAACAGCAAAACCATTGCCTGTGGAGAATCCAGTGCAAAGAGATTAACACATTTTGACATTAAATTAAATTTCAATTAACACAGCGAGTAAAGTGCTTGGATGAAAGGCGGACAACGGTGTTGCCAATCCCAATGAGATCCAAAATACTGATTTAACAATCCAAACTCAATGTATGGACAGATCACACTTACTGTAATGAACGGCTATGTAATACAGCTGGAATCAGTGTTGTGTTTGTGAATTTCTGTATTTAATGGTCCAGAGATCCAATGAAGGGCACACCAGATGCCCTTTTACTAAAGAAGGCACATAATCGGTATGTTTGAATTGATTTCTTGAATTGAAGTTGTTAATGCGAATCCAGGAGCATCCCCTAGGATTACTGTGTCAGTCGAGGTATTTGTTACATATTGTAACTATAAAGCTTACTTGTATAAACTTTATTTTATTATTTTATAAAAAAAAAAAACCCTACAAAATCAATCACTTTTTTGTTTTGCCCATGCACAAAGGCATGTATAAAGATAACATAAGTCACTCTTGGATAGAACAGCCTATAAAATAATGCCCCTTCTGACTTTTTAAAACATCTAAAACAATTGCTTGTTTATAAATAATGACATATTAAAAACAAAATCATTTTAACATAGTACAATTTTCAGTTTTGCAGTTCAGCCCTTAGCCACGCAAACAATTATGATTCTTCAGCATGTGATTCCCAGTCTTCTAGTCTTAAGAAAATAAAATACAAAGACACTGACCCTGAATTATTGATCATTGGCATTTCTCCATCGGCCCGATTATCTTGCACGATGAAAATCGATCTCTATTGACGACTGCGCAAAATACAGTCTGTGCAGTCAGTATACACCAGAAATTATGGCTTCAAGTTTTTAACACTGTGACTAACATGGTTCAGATTCAGCCATGCTAGAAACACGAAAGAAGTCTTTTCAATTTCTTTTGCATTGACTTGCATTGAGTATCTCGGCTGCAGTATCAGCCTCTCAGCTGACCGGTGAAGACATTTATCTTCAGACAGAAACATTGTGAAATAAGTGGAATCCACTGGCTCCTGTTAGCATGTAGTGTAAAGAGAGACTCCGGCTCACACAAAGCTTTCTATTGGCTTCTCCGTGTTCTCTTTAATAGACAGAGGGCTCAGGAGGGCCATGTTGATCGCTGTCTCTTTACGACGAATGGAGCTCTCTGAATGGTCGTCACTTTGGTCCTTGGCAAAGTTAACAAATACCTGTTGATTGGGAAGATGAGTATTCAGTAATCACAGCAAGACACACACACACACAAAAATACAAATTAACTATAACAACCTTGTTGTGATACCATTTTTTGTTGTCTTTAATGAATATTAACAGGCCGTGACCCAAAAGGATAGTTCACCCAGAAATAAAAATTCTGTCATCATTTACTCCCTCTAAACCTGCATGACATTCTTTCTTCTGTGAAACACAAAATGAGATATTTTGAAGAATGTTGGTAACCAAACAGTATGGACAAAAGTACTATGGAAGACAATGGGACCCAAAACTGTTTGGTTACTAACATTCTTCAAAATGTATTATTTTGTGTTCAACAGAAGAAATAAAGTCCTACAGGTCTGGAATGACATGAGAGAGAGTAAATGATGACTGCCCCTTTTAACAGTTGACTGCTTTTTAACTTCCTCTTGTCCCCAGTAGGGGTCACTGTGCAACACACACGAGAAACCCTACTCGGAAATGTGCCTGAGATATTTTAGGGTTGGAAATGCCCCCTCACCTGGTCCAAAGTGGTCTGGGACACGGTGTAGTCCTCTATCCGGAGAAACTCTTTGTTCTTAGCGAGGATGCTGAAGATGTGAGCGAGGGAGGTGAGGGAGGAGGGGAGCTGGTATTGCAGCATGTTTCTGTGTTTTTCTTTCAGGGTGCTTCCCGGCAGCTCGCTCTCAATGAACTTCATCACCGGCTGCAGGTCAGGATCTGGCCCTGCAACCCTCAGAATGATGGTGTACCCATCTCCAAATCTGCAAGAGGAGCAAGTGATGTCATATATATATGCATCAAAACTCTCCTAGACATGTCTAAAAAGTAATGTATGCTTTATGCTTCATGTTCTTGATTTGAGTCATTGTTTTTGAAATTCGATTCAAAACACATTGTACTTTTAAATAGCTTAAATAAGCCATGAACCAGACCAACTAGCTATGAGGTGAATCACAACATCACAAACTTTGATTTGGAGCCAAAAAAATATATGAAAATTGGACAAAAAGACAAAAGGGCTGTGTACTTAATGAGGGAAAGAACTACAATCCCATGAAGCATTGGGAATGACAAAATTGATTATTATGACAGAAAAATAACTTAATTTGTTGCCGGTGTTGCTAGTGTATATAGGAATAACATTTTATGTTTATTGCAAAATATGCACATATATACAAATATACACATATATATATATTTGTATATATGTGTATATTTGCATATATGCACATATATACAAATATTTAACTATGATTATTATTGTAAATATTTAAGTAGTTTTTCTTTTGGGGCAGTTTGCTTGTTTCGGTTCTCTGATTGGAAGAGATTTCTCTGCAGAATCATGATGTGACGAGTGGGGTGGGGCCGAGAGCCGTGGGAACGGAGCGAGGCCGGTGACGTGAGTGATAATGAGCATCACCTGTGCGCCCATTGTACTTTTAAATAGCTTAAATAAGCCATGAACCAGACCAACTAGCTATGAGGTGAATCACAACATCACAAACTTTGATTTGGAGCCAAAAAAATATATGAAAATTGGACAAAAAGACAAAAGGGCTGTGTACTTAATGAGGGAAAGAACTACAATCCCATGAAGCATTGGGAATGACAAAATTGATTATTATGACAGAAAAATAACTTAATTTGTTGCCGGTGTTGCTAGTGTATATAGGAATAACATTTTATGTTTATTGCAAAATATGCACATATATACAAATATACACATATATATATATTTGTATATATGTGTATATTTGCATATATGCACATATATACAAATATTTAACTATGATTATTATTGTAAATATTTAAGTAGTTTTTCTTTTGGGGCAGTTTGCTTGTTTCGGTTCTCTGATTGGAAGAGATTTCTCTGCAGAATCATGATGTGACGAGTGGGGTGGGGCCGAGAGCCGTGGGAACGAAGCGAGGCCGGTGACTTGAGTGATAATGAGCATCACCTGTGCGCCACACATGAGTAATGTAGTTTTTCACTAAGAATTTCACTAACACATGATTATTTAAAAATAAGTCAGTAGCCCCTCACTGCAGAACACAAGATCCAGGGGGCATGGTTGGATCCACATCTAGGGGGTGGAGATTGGTAGGTTTAGGTATATGTAAGGTGGGAGGAGTTGGATCTGGATCCAACCACGCCCCCTGGATCTTGTGTTCTGCAGTGAGGACAAATAAGTTGGAATAATGGGAACTGACAGCTTCAACAAAGCAGAGATGATCAATTAACAACCTCATATCTCACGGTAGGTCTGTCTATCCAATTCCCGAATGGAGAAAATGAAAGGGATTCTTACTTCCGAAACTCGGCTGCTACACTCTATCATTCATGATCGTACCTGTTCTTCAGGTGTTGGACGCTACCCAGACAGCGGAACCTGCCGTTCACCATGATGGCCATCCTGGTGCACAGCGCTTCACATTCTTCCATGCTAAGAGTGAACAGAATGCAGGTTAGTATGGAAGAAAACAGATGAAATACTGCCCCCTAGTGATAGATGGTAGAAGTCTAAACTCTGCAAAAATATAAGATAAAAAACTAAGACATGAACATTTTAGAGGAAAACAATACTATCATCAATGCTGTCAGCGCTGCTGTTTAGCAATAGCTCACTTAATGTGCTTATCTATAACATTAGCTGACTGTTAGTGTTTAGTTTAAGTGCATAAACTGTAATTGTATTAGGAAACGTCTGGTCAATGTACCTGTGTGAGGTAAGTAGGACAGAGCGTCCCTCTTTGATGACACTGTGGATGCAGTTCCACAGTGCTCGTCGTGCTTTGGGGTCCATTCCAGTGGTGGGCTCGTCCTGTAACCAAAAGCACAGCAAAACTCAGTTTCGGCCATAGGAAACACACATTGAACAGCAACATCGGCGGGAAGAACACCATCTCTTCCTCACACGTGTATTGCACACTCAAGTGAACCGAAACAGGCTTGCTGACTCTTGAGCGTTCTTATGTGATCTTTGTGTGATCAACCCACTATGAGGCCTCTCTGAAGGCGAAGGCTAAAGAGTTCAGGGTAATTTAGCTCTAGGGGTTTATACAACGAGAGCGGGAAACCCAGCTGAGAGAATAATCAAACAGTGGTCATATGATCCAGACTTATGTTGTTTTTGTTGATTAGTTTGCAGACATTCACCCTAGGAAGCATAAGACTTTGAGCCAGTTGTGAAAGTGTCTTTGTGTGTACATGTGTGTGTTGCACATACCAGGAAGACCACTGGTGGGGCTCCAATGAGTGAAATGGCGGTGGAGAGTTTGCGCATGTTGCCACCGCTGTAGCTTCCTGCTTTCTTGTCCACGTACTTTACGAGGCCCAGTTTACGGATTCCCCACTCTGCCACCTGCCCAAGGTACAACACATCAGTAAAACTAACAACACTTCCTATTACGGTTAATCTCACAAAACATTTCCAGGTCACATTTACCTCAAAATCAAAAGAAAAATTATATTCTATACTATTCTATTATAAAAAACAAAAATGTCTGTTTTACATTATCCCTCAAATTGTCATTACCATTATTTTTTAAATTTCATTGTTTTCTTAAAGGGGTGGTTGATTGCGATTTCACTTTTTTAATCGTTAGTTAGTGTGTAATGTTGCTGTTTGAGCATAAACAATATCTGCAAAGTTACGGCGCTGCAAATGGATATCGTCTTTTAAAATTCTGGTAGTTTAATGCCTACAAAAACGGCTCGTAGGGACTACAACGAGCTACTTGCCGGGTTTGTTGCATCACAAACCCAGAAATGTACATAAACCCCGCCCCCGGGAACATGCAACGAAGGGGGCGGGGCCATGTTCCGGACAAAGTGCAGTACGCGGTTAACGAATCACAACACACTGGGCCAACAAACCAATCTGAGCCCATTGCGTATTTCTGAGGGAGTGATATCAGAAACAGGAAGTCAACCGGCCGTTCAAATGACAATGGAGACAGCGGCTTACAATAAAGGTAAAATATATGAAAAATAAGGCGTTTTAAAAAAAAATTAAGCATGAAAACATGTTACACTGCACCCCATAAACACAATCAAACAAAGAAAAAAAGCAGTCAACCACCCCTTTAATGATGATTTGTCATTACTATAGTACATTACCTTTTTCCCTTTTTCATATTTTTTTGTGTATTTTTTAAGTTTAAATCAATCAATGGGAAAATGTGCTTAATGGTCAAAATACAAAAATATTTTTGTACAATGATCAGCATACACTAAAGCCTGTATAAATACTTGTATTTTTTTTTTTTTTTGCATTTTGGTAATGAGCATTATGGCAGCCCAAGCACTTATTTGGGATGTCAAATGTGAAAAATAAGTCTCATTTCATTTTTTAAACATGTATAATTTCATTGTGGGTTTTTTTTTTTGGGGGGGGGTAAATATGTAAAATATGACCTGGGAGTGTGATTCACCCTAAAGGTCACATAACATGAAATTATATATATATAAAAAAAAAGAGTAAATCATTATTTAAGTACTGGTGTTAGTTTATATGCTCTGCTCACCTCACAAACTTCCTTTTCAGGTACACCACGCAGGATGGCGTAGAATTCCAGGTGTTCCCGTCCTGTCAGCAGATCGTTGATAGCATCAAACTGAGGGCAGTAGCCCATGTTCTGATGTACTTCATCTATTTCTCTGAGTATACTGGAAATAAGAAGGAGCAGCGTCATCAAAAAATGCATCCACATAATTTTAAGATGAACCTATGACTTAAAATAACACACACACACACACACACACACACATACATACCAACATATATATAGACTAAGCTGTAGTAAGGAAGTAGCATCATATATGCTACTTATACAGTAATAACTAATTGTATTTTACTGTCTGTACCTTTTCCCAGCCAAGAATGCTTCTCCTTTGGTGACCACACAGTCTCCGGTCAGCATTTTAAAAGTACTGGTCTTTCCGGCTCCGTTGACACCAAGCAGACCGAAGCACTGAAAGAAGAAGGAAACACATCAGTTTGTGGTCTTACAGTAGACGAGAAGAAGAGTGATTCATTCAAATGAGGCTGATCATGAGGCAGCTGTCATGAATTACCTCTCCTGGAGGAATGCCAACACATAGACGATCAACAGCGGGCTTCTGTTTCCGCTTGTACACCTGTAATAGAAAAGGATGACAGATTGATGAGGGCAACATTTATTTGACTAAATTTGAAATACTAATGTTGATGTCTGTGTTCATCAGCCGAGGATTTCTGCTGACCTTAGTGAGTTGTCGGAGTTCAAGAATGTCTCCCTGTCCAGCTCCACTCATGATTCTCTGCCTCTCTCTGGCCACATCCTCATCCTCCTCTCCAATCGGACTCAACTTGGCACTTAAAGACCTGCAGGAAATGATCAAACCATATTAGATCTTCTAAATCTTCTAATCCATAATTTCATTAGCAATTCATATAAATGTAATTTGTTTTAGAATATCATCTTGTGATGTTGCTTACTTGGGTTCAAAGAAGAAACGGTACTGGATAAGGACTGTGATGATGAAGAAAACCACTCCTTCCACAGCCATAGCAAAAAGATTCTTGCCCACCATGTCCCACTCCAATGGAGAACGGAAACGGTTCTCACCTAATGCAAGGTAAGAGAGCATTCAGCAAGGTAATATTTACCCTTGCAGTAGTTACAGTTAATACAGTAGACACAGATCAAGCCTATGAGGTCAAACTCTGGAATTCATTGCTCTTATATTGGTAATCTGTCAAAAAAATGAAAATTTAAAGTGGAGCTAGCTAATCTTACCAAATCTCTCCAGAGCGTCAGCCATGGCCTGATTCTTCACCATGTCGATGAGACCTCGACCCAGGCAAAAATGTGGAAAGATGAGCAAAACGTTCTTCAGGATGTCATTAATGCCACCAATCTCCTGCAGAAGGGATTGAAGACATTAGAAATCATTATATGTGCTTGTAAATTACTGCTAAGAATAGCAAATAGCAAGATGGCATTAGGATGAAACCAAAAAAGTAATTTCTTACATTATTTCCAAATAACTCCATGACAAAAGTGGACACGCTGCCATTGATCCCAATGAGGATGTTGACGCTAGTGAGAACCACGTAAGCGGTGCTTGGGATTTTGAAGAGGAATGAAGCCGGGTACATAAGAGGAGTGATGGACCATCTGAAGAGAGACAAGAATAAGTATTTATTACCAGGGAAAAGGTTATGTGCAAATTGGCAGTGTATTGAGGCCCCATGTCAGGCCCCAAGCATATCTAGGTATCACAATATCATAGAGACATGAGGGAGGGCTCTTTTCGCTAGGGAAGATTCCCAGATTGTGTGCTTTGTAAAGTATAATGTATAATCCCATACAGGGCCCCAAAGGGGTCTTTCCATATCTGCAGAATTTATACATACAGTAGAAGTGGGTGTGCTCTTTCACTAAAGGAAATATAAAGAGGCCCCATGTGGGACCCCCAGCCATGTCTAGGGATCAGACTATCTAAGAGACATATTTTGCAAAGACGAGCACCACTCACATAATTTTTAGAAAATATTTCTAAACATACTATATATGTATATGTTCTACATTTATTTGATATGTGGTTTATAACAAGTTTTTTTTTCTGAATTATCTTCAGAAAATGTACCTGTATGTACTTTATAATTCATTTTTTCTTATGTTTATTCTATTTCACATCTTCATCAGAAAATGTACTTAAAAGTACTTTTGTATTTTGTATCTGTTATATATTTATATGTTATATATCTGTTATGATGTTTCTATTTTTATTCTATTTAAAATTTAGTTTGTAATCAATTTTTTTCTATTTTTATTCTTTCACATTGTCTTCAATCTATTTCTATTTCACATTCTCTTCAGAATATGTCCCCAAATATGCTGTATAATCTGTTTTTCTCCTATATTATATTTCTATTTGAAATTTTCTTTAAAAAATGTCCCCAAACATACTTTATAATATGTGTTTTCCCCCGTTTTATTATTTCTTTTATAAATATAGTTCATAAGCTGTGTTTTCTGTTTCTATTTATGGAGTATATTGTCAGTACCTACATAAATTATCACCATATTGAGCTGGTATTTTTTATATAAGTGAATGTCTTGATCTGTCTTTTTTACCCATAAAGAAGCAGTAGAAGGGCAAGAACAGGCAGGTTGGTGGCGGAGACGTAGGCTTTTTGTTGAAAGCACACAAAGATCACGATCACCAGAGTAGCAGGGACGACATAATTGCACTGTACCAGAAAATAGACAGAAATGTGCATTAGAAATTTTGGGTCAGCAGCCAAGTAGGTGAGTGGTGCATTATGAGATTTGAAAGCAAAACCAGACACTCACCATATCCCAGAGAAAGTTGGCCAGCCAGTAGAGGAATGGCTGAACTCCACTGATAAACTGCATGTGCTTGGCCTTATTCACTCGCTCCTGAATGAGGAAGACAACGAAGCTGGCGGGGACAAAGGACATGGCGAAGATCACACAGATGGAAACCAGCACATCCACTGAGGTAGTCATTCTGAAATGCCAAAATCAGGGTTCAGAGATTAGAAAAACATGACCAATGCACTTAACGTTATTTAAATTTCATTTAATCAATGTTTCAATGCTTACAGGGCCACTTGAGAAAGCTGTTCCTTGGTCAGATTGAGCGGATGGTTGAACGTAGTGATGCCAAACTGACGGGCGTCTTTGCCAGGCGGCAAGCTGGCACGCAAGATACCATTGTTCATTACATTGAGGAAAGCTCCAATACCGTGCCAGCCCTTGTTATTGAACCATATCTGAAAACAAATTGCCAATAAAGATAATTCCAAGTAGACTTATTTAAAATATAAAATAGAAATGGCAGTCATCCAATTGTCACTCACCTTGACATTATTCTTAGTGTCCAGCCCATTGATGAAGGCAGACAGGCTTTTCAAGAAACGGTCGGCCGCTGATCCTGAGTCCTAAAAGAGTAGGATAAGAAACACTTCATGCACTATTCCTGAGCTATTTGATTCATTTGCTAAGACTCAATGTTTTGGCTTACCTTCCCCAGTTGGAAGATTTCCCTGACTCTAGAGATGGCATCATCAATCTCCTCAGCAGGAGGAAGTACCTGAGTGCTTCTAGCACCCAATGAAAATCCTCCATATCTGAATTCGTTCACCCATATCTTGTTCTTTAAGCTATGAAAGAAACAATCCGTTAATGTGTTGAATGATGCTGCTGAACTATTTCAGTTCATTTGGATAGACAATCAGGCCAAACCTTTTCCCAATGATCTGTGCGTAGGTCTTCACTAGATAGTCTGAGATGTTTCGTCCCGTCAGGTTCTGGAGGGTCTCAGTCTCACTGATCTTAATCTGAGGAGGTGGCAGTCCACCTGCACCAGCAGGGCATTCTGGGAGCATCTTCTTTTTACCATTACAGCTGCACTCGCAAGCAGGCGATGGGTTGTCCATGGTCCAGTTTGTTGATGTGAAAATGTCCATCACACTTTCTGCCACTTCTGGAGTAGACCATTCCTCATCGCCCATTGTACAGGGAGCATCACTGAAACCATGGGAGAAGACAAGCTTAGTTTTTTCCTGAATAAAAAATAATAGCAGTTACAAAAAAATGTGTCATATACTGTAAGTTACTTACGGAATTGGTTCTCCTTCCATGCATCGCGTTCCAAAGCTAGGATCATCTAACAAAGCGTTGAGTAATTTTTGTGTGCTTATATCATGTGGAGCATCATCACTGTGACAAAGAAAGACCCTATTTAATCTAAATGGTTCCATGCAAACTTTTTAAATTTATGTTGAGTAGGGCATGTTGTCCTTATCATACCTGATGAAAGTAAACTGTTCTTCATACATCCAGGGATTAAGAGCCAGGCTGGGATATTTTCCGAATGGTGGCACAATAAGACTGAACACCAGAGCGATGCATACAAACACAGCGGGAAGAACAATCTGCAAAGAGAATCAAAGTGAGTTGATCAAAACTGAACTGTACTGACATGGGCTGCGTTTCCCAAAAGTAGCATGAGCCTAACTAGATTTTAGAAACCACTGGCATCAGTAGTCTTTACAATCTACTTAGGTTTACAATGTTTTGGGGAATCATAGAAATCATTGGCACCAATAGTGCATCCAATCTACTTAGGCTTACGTTGTTTTTGGGAATCGTAGAAACAATTGGCACTAACAGTTTCTATTATCTACAGGTGCATCTCAATAAATTAGAATGTCGTGGAAAGTTCATTTATTTCAGTAATTCAACTCAAATTGTGAAACTCGTCTATTAAATAAATTCAATGCACACAGACTGAGGTGGGTTTTTGTTAAATGTGAGCCAAAATCATCACAATTAAAATAACAAAAGACTTAAACTACTTCAGTCTGTGTGCATTGAATTTATTTAATACACGAGTTTCACAATTTGAGTTGAATTACTGAAATAAATGAACTTTTCCACGACATTCTAATTTATTGAGATGCACCTGTACTTACGATGATTTTGGTAAACCCAGCCTAGGTTTAGTTTTTGTTATTGACTATATTTCTCATTCCTACCTGTGCGAAGAAGCCTTTCCTTGAGCGGCGAGCATAAAGCAATCTCTTCCACAACAAAGCCACAAACTGTTGCCTCTTCAAACTCCAGCCTTTCACCTGAAATGATCCTTTCCCATTGGAAACGCTCAAATAGTCTGTCTCTTTCGATTCTGGCGATCAAATATATCAACGACACATTTAAACCCAAACAAATGAAGAAGATATTTGGCTGACTCTACTGTAATGATACAGTATAGATGTTTTAGGGCTTTAAGGTCTACCTGGATCACCATCAGAGTCGTTGCAGTCAAAGTTTTCATCTTCAGTCAGGGGTTTGAGGCAGCTCTGGTGGTCAGCACCAAATGAGTGTTGTCTATGTCTGCGCACTGGCAGAGTTCCATCTAACAAAATTAATAATACAAGAGATCTTTACGGGATTTTTTGTCTTTTAACTGCTTATTCCATTTACTAGACAGCTAATAGTGAGGTACAAATTTACCTGAGATGATTTCTGTGTCAACTCCACTGTCCTCTGCCACTTTAAGGAAAATCTATAAAGACAAACAAGAAATATCATTAGTAACTTGCACATGTTGTCAAAAATCCCAGCTAGCATCCTAAAGCTTTTCTTGACAGATAAAAACCAAGACAAGCTACACGTACCTCTTCAAGTGTAGTATCTGAGACACCATAGCTTGAAATGCAAAGGTCAGCGAGGCGATCATCCATGTCATGGAAGAGCTCAACGAATGCACCATCTTTGGCAGACTCGTATGGCAACACATATGTGATCTCATGACCAAGGTCTTCCACCATGCGGGCCGCGGGAACGTGCTTCAGGATTAGACTGGAGATGAGGGCCACATCAACAGGAACAACAGGAGATTCGGGCCATGTAGTTCCTACAGAACATATTGAACAAAGTGAAAACTTTAGTAATTCAGACACATTATAAGATTCAGTTATAATGTGATGAACTGAAAAGTTATCCATCATTTTAAAGTTTGAGGTCTTGTGGTGTTTTACCAATCGCTGTGGCGGCTTCGCTCTCTTGGTCACTACCTAGACCAGCATCCGAACTGCTCTCAGATGCATTGTCATCCTAGAAAACCAATGAAACAACAGTGTTTAGCATGTTAGCTTAACAACTAATCAATGTTTTCGTTGGGTGTTTTTGCAAACTGAAGTGTGCTTACTTTCTTAACAAAGGACACAGTGCTGCTCGAGTTCCTGCAAGAACTGAGAGAAGGCTCCGTGTTTTTCTTCACCAAGGTAAGATAGTATCCAGTTCCCAGTTGAGTCTTAAGAAAGAGCGAAGAGCCCACACAACAAAGCTTTCCATGGGAGATGATAGCAATACGATCGCCCAGAATATCCGCTTCATCCATATGATGGGTGGAAAGAATGATAGTCCGACCTAAAAAATACCAAAAGTCCTCAATGATTCAATAAGATCTGATGGCATTTTCTTTGTTTTTAAATACAAAACGAATGGGGTAGTTACCTGCACGATACTTCAGAAGAAGGTCCCAGATGCCTCTTCGAGCGTATGGGTCCACACCAGCAGTGGGCTCGTCCAGAATAACAACCTTTGACCCTCCAACAAAAGCAAGGGCTACCGAGAGTTTCCTCTGCATACCACCTAAGGAGCACAAAAGTGTAAGTTTGCAACAAATCAAACAACTAACAAATCAAAATTTCAGAGGTCATAATGCTACACACCGGACAGTTGGCTGGTCCTGGATTTGCGTTTCTGTGGAAGGCCGGTATCAGTCAGAATCTGCTCCGTCTCAGCCTTCACTTCCTCCTCAGACAGACCCTTCAGACGGGCGTAGAACCAGATGTGCTCTTCTACTGTCAGCCTGAAATACACCAGGCCAAGCAAAAGGTGGATTAGCATCAACAGAACTGATTTATACAACCTTAACATCAACTAATATGTGACTTGTTTTCACATCATTTTTCTTGCAGGGTCTGATTAAAGCACTTACATGCTAAAGAGGACGTTGTGTTGTGGACACACTCCGAGGCTCTGTCTGATCGAACTGAGCTCTGAGCGAATATCTTTGCCCATTATATATGCAGTGCCAGAGGTGGGAGGGAAAAGGCCAGTTAGGATAGACCTAAAACATTGAAGGCAAATTGGAGGGTTAGATATTGTAACCAAAAAGAAAGCAGCCATTACTCCAATCCATATGATCCTTCAGAAATCATTCTAATATGCTGATTTGAAACAGTTGTACATTTTATTCATTTTTATTACATTTTATTTATTTTATGAATAAAAAGTGAAATGTGAACTTACATGGTGGTGGTTTTTCCAGCTCCATTGTGACCTAGGAAAGAAGTTATTTGCCCCTCATAGAAGCCAAGTGTCAACCCATCGACTGCTAGCTTTTTGCCATGACGGTAGACCTTCACAAGATTCTTAATGTAAACTCCCAATTCAAGGTGAGTGGGTTCCTCTTCAATGCAGACAGCTTTAAAAAAACAACACAAACACAATTAATCAATTGTTTTTTAAGATTATATCTAATGATCAAATTCAAAACTCAAAACAGTCCACTGGCACATGCCACTGAAAACCAGATATGTCACTAAACATAGCTGCATGTGCCAGTGGCTTCTTAACATGAAAATAATCATCAGGTGTATCCCTTATAAAAAACGTACCCCCAGCATTTCCCTTCTTTCCATGAACTGCAGTATTGTTTGTGTTGCGCTCTCCAAACCAGTAGGATTTCGTGAAAGGGAAGTACCATGGCCTGGGAATGCCATACTGCCCTGGGAACACGGCCTCAATGTACCAGGTCATGACCCCATACAGGAAGGCATCAAAGTACATGAGGATGAGGCAGGTGGTGAGGTTGTAGTTGTCTTCTTCCATGGGGCTAGAGAAGAGGTTATTCCATTGGATGCCCACACCTTGCTCCTCAAACAGGGCAAAATACTCACAGCCAAATCCAAATGCCACTGGAGACAGTAAGCTCTGTGGACACAACCAAATTAGATGTAAATTGTGTTGTTTTGTCCACCCTGTAGTACACGTATAATGTTAGTCAAGGTTTCTTGATCCAAAATAAGTAATTTGAGGGGGACTTAATTCAAAAGGCAAAATTATTTTTTTTTACTCAGTTGAAGCATCAACTCACTTAATTTTGATAATTTTGATTAATATCTTACATGATTTTGGTTCTAAAGTAAATTGTCAATAAAGAATGTTTAGATATTTTTACTGGAAAACAAGATAAAAAACATTGAGTTAAAAAAAAAAAAGAGTAAAAAATGAGTCATATTAAATCATTTATATGACCTTAAAATATATATATATATTGTTTTAGTGTACCTCAAATAGTTCAAATTGCTTTCAAAGTGAATATAAATGTACTGACAGAGATTCCCTATTACCTTTGTGACCTTGAGTTGGACATTTAATCTCAGGTTGTTCCAGCAGGACCTGAAGTTCATGCGATAATTCTACTTTAAGTCACTTTAATGACGTGTAACCAGGTAACTGCGCAGGATCAATCCACCTTGGAAGACCCTAGGGTTAAGTGCCTTGGTCAAAGTAATCTCACCAGCATTTAACTAGTTTAAACAGGAACACCCCAGTGAAGATTCCTTGTAATCTAGTGTCAGGAACCAAACCCTACAATGGGTTTAAAGTGCGATTTTACAGTTAAGATATTCTCATCGCACCCGTAGGTCATTTTAGATAAGGAGAGCAGTATAAATTAGTTTCCTTATGCAATATACTGTACGACAACCTAATGCATTTGGCCAACAACCGATGACGCTACACACAAACACAAACACATTTGCACTTTGTAACTGATATTTTTTAACACATTTTTTGCAGATGGTCATAAACTTACAGCGATGACTTTGGCAGTGAAGCCCACGTAGTCTTGCCAAGCCACACAGAGCACATAAGGCAGGTAGAGGGTGAAGTAGATAATGCCCCCGCAAGCCGCTGCCAGGTTGGCACGTGCGAACGCCGTACTGATCAGAAAACACTGCATGATGGTTACCACAGCGAATGACCCGAGGAAGAGGAAGACTACGCCAGGGTCACTATAGGGCAGGAGATTACCCATCTGGAAAGGTAAAAGAAATCAGGGTCATTATCTCTGTTTTGCTTCTATTAATGACGATTTCTTAAAGAATACCACATAATGAATAATATTCATTATTACAATTAATAATAATAATCAGGGTTACTACAGGGTATATTTTATATATACAACTAAAACTAACAGAAATAAAAATTTATTTTTTAAATTAAGTTTTAGTAGTTTTTGTTACACACACACACACACACACACACACACATATATATATATATATATATGTAAAACAAAAACTGCAAAAACACAACAAAATTACTGAAACTTAAAAATGAAAATGTAAATATTAATAAAATATTCAAAATGTTATTAAAAACTATAATAGTATCTTAAATATACTAAAATAACATTGATAATAAAAATAATTAGTGTTACTGTACATTAGTATTATTAATTAATTAATTAATTAAATATTATAGTATTTATTGATATTTTGAATTAATGCTTTAACTTTTATATTTTCAATTTTTTATTTTTATTTTAGTTTGTAATCATTTTATGTGCTTTTGTCATTATTTGTCATATATGTTATTTTCATATTTCATATTTTATTTATTTTCATATTTCAATTTAGCTTTAATGTATTTTTTATTTCAGTTTTAGTAATTTTGGTACATCAACTTATATCAGTTAGTTGCCAAGGCAAAAGTAAAAAAAAATCTTTTTTTTTTTTTTTGTAATAGTTTTACTACTACTACTTATCATAACAACAACAACAATAATAATAATAAGTGGTACAATAAAAAAAATATATTCAGATCAAATAACACTAAGGGATGATGGAAGAATAATGGCCATAAAGTCACTTAGCACTCCTAACATAAAAAATCCTAAAACAGGAAAAAAGTCAAAATTGCAATACAGTATAAATAATTTGTAATAATTGTAATTGATTACTGAATGTTTTTTGTAATGGAAAAAGTGTGCTCCCTAGAAAACAACCTGTCTTAAGATCTGCTGATGTCTTTTTAGTACCTTGAGTAAAAGAACCAGCAGGCCTGCGCTGATGAGAAGAGGGATGAGGCTGCTAATGAACCAGCTGAACCACAGGATTCCATTGTCCAATCCCATAATCCTCATGGTCTCCTTGAGCCGGGCCTCCTTCTCATAGACGACACCTTTGATGATGATGGCCACTGAGTACATCCAGGCCAGAGTCATGAAAAGTGGCATGGAACGGCTCATAATGCGAAGGAAACTACAGGAAAAAAGTGTATTTTTTATTTTTTATAATTGTTCAACTTCCAACTGTTACAGAACATACTGAAAGATTAGCACGAAGCAGTCTTTTTACTGCAGGGGAAATAGTTTAAAGACAATCCTTCATAATTTGCAGTCTCTTTTATTCGATTAGGTTTATTTGCAGTGCAGTGGAATACTTACATATCATCTACATAACATGGATAAGGCATCTGTTGGATGTAAACACCAGTCTTCTCTTTGGTCCCAGTAACTGCTCTAGTATTGTTTGTGTTGCGCTCTCCAAACCAGTAGGATTTCGTGAAAGGGAAGTACCATGGCCTGGGAATGCCATACTGCCCTGGGAACACTGCCTCAATGTACCAGGTCATGACCCCATACAGGAAGGCATCAAAGTACATGAGGATGAGGCAGGTGGTGAGGTTGTAGTTGTCTTCTTCCATGGGGCTAGAGAAGAGGTTATTCCATTGGATGCCCACACCTTGCTCCTCAAACAGGGCAAAATACTCACAGCCAAATCCAAATGCCACTGGAGACAGTAAGCTCTGTGGACACAACCAAATTAGATGTAAATTGTGTTGTTTTGTCCACCCTGTAGTACACGTATAATGTTAGTCAAGGTTTCTTGATCCAAAATAAGTAATTTGAGGGGGACTTAATTCAAAAGGCAAAATTATTTTTTTTTACTCAGTTGAAGCATCAACTCACTTAATTTTGATAATTTTGATTAATATCTTACATGATTTTGGTTCTAAAGTAAATTGTCAATAAAGAATGTTTAGATATTTTTACTGGAAAACAAGATAAAAAACATTGAGTTAAAAAAAAAAAAGAGTAAAAAATGAGTCATATTAAATCATTTATATGACCTTAAAATATATATATATATTGTTTTAGTGTACCTCAAATAGTTCAAATTGCTTTCAAAGTGAATATAAATGTACTGACAGAGATTCCCTATTACCTTTGTGACCTTGAGTTGGACATTTAATCTCAGGTTGTTCCAGCAGGACCTGGAGTTCATGCAGTAAGTCTACTGTAAGTCAGTTTAATGACAAGTAACCAGGTAACTGCGCAGGATCAATCCGCCTAGGGTTAAGTGCTTTGGTCAAAGTAATCTCAGTAACGCTGGCTCACCTCTAACTGAACTCTTGTATTAGTGGCCCAGATATTTAATCTATCTTTAATCTATCAAGCATTTAACTAGTTTCAACAGGAACACAGAGCGTAGATTCCTTGTAATCTAGAGTCAGGAACCAAAGCCTACAATGGGTTTAAAGTGCGATTTTACAGTTAAGATATTCTCATCGCACCCGTAGGTCATTTTAGATAAGGAGAGCAGTATAAATTAGTTTCCTTATGCAATATACTGTACGACAACCTAATGCATTTGGCCAACAACCGATGACGCTACACACAAACACAAACACATTTGCACTTTGTAACTGATATTTTTTAACACATTTTTTGCAGATGGTCATAAACTTACAGCGATGACTTTGGCAGTGAAGCCCACGTAGTCTTGCCAAGCCACACAGAGCACATAAGGCAGGTAGAGGGTGAAGTAGATAATGCCCCCGCAAGCCGCTGCCAGGTTGGCACGTGCGAACGCCGTACTGATCAGAAAACACTGCATGATGGTTACCACGGCGAATGACCCGAGGAAGAGGAAGACTACGCCAGGGTCACTATAGGGCAGGAGATTACCCATCTGGAAAGGTAAAAGAAATCAGGGTCATTATCTCTGTTTTGCTTCTATTAATGACGATTTCTTAAAGAATACCACATAATGAATAATATTCATTATTACAATTAATAATAATAATCAGGGTTACTACAGGGTATATTTTATATATACAACTAAAACTAACAGAAATAAAAATTTATTTTTTAAATTAAGTTTTAGTAGTTTTTGTTACACACACACACACACACACACACACACATATATATATATATATATATGTAAAACAAAAACTGCAAAAACACAACAAAATTACTGAAACTTAAAAATGAAAATGTAAATATTAATAAAATATTCAAAATGTTATTAAAAACTATAATAGTATCTTAAATATACTAAAATAACATTGATAATAAAAATAATTAGTGTTACTGTACATTAGTATTATTAATTAATTAATTAATTAAATATTATAGTATTTATTGATATTTTGAATTAATGCTTTAACTTTTATATTTTCAATTTTTTATTTTTATTTTAGTTTGTAATCATTTTATGTGCTTTTGTCATTATTTGTCATATATGTTATTTTCATATTTCATATTTTATTTATTTTCATATTTCAATTTAGCTTTAATGTATTTTTTATTTCAGTTTTAGTAATTTTGGTACATCAACTTGTTTTATATCAGTTAGTTGCCAAGGCAAAAGTAAAAAAAAATCTTTTTTTTTTTTTTGTAATAGTTTTACTACTACTACTAATCATAACAACAACAACAATAATAATAATAAGTGGTACAATAAAAAAAATATATTCAGATCAAATAACACTAAGGGATGATGGAAGAATAATGGCCATAAAGTCACTTAGCACTCCTAACATAAAAAATCCTAAAACAGGAAAAAAGTCAAAATTGCAATACAGTATAAATAATTTGTAATAATTGTAATTGATTACTGAATGTTTTTTGTAATGGAAAAAGTGTGCTCCCTAGAAAACAACCTGTCTTAAGATCTGCTGATGTCTTTTTAGTACCTTGAGTAAAAGAACCAGCAGGCCTGCGCTGATGAGAAGAGGGATGAGGCTGCTAATGAACCAGCTGAACCACAGGATTCCATTGTCCAATCCCATAATCCTCATGGTCTCCTTGAGCCGGGCCTCCTTCTCATAGACGACACCTTTGATGATGATGGCCACTGAGTACATCCAGGCCAGAGTCATGAAAAGTGGCATGGAACGGCTCATAATGCGAAGGAAACTACAAGAAAAGAGGGGAATTTTTAATAACTGTTCCTACTGTTATAGAACATACTGAAAGGCTAGCATAAAGCAATCTGGACAAGCATGCAGTGTATTTTTTTTCTGTTTAAAAACATTCCCTTCATAATTTGTCATCTCTGTTATTCGATTAGGTTTATTTGCAGTGCTGTGGAATGCTTACATATCATCTACGTAACATGGATAAGGCATCTGTTGGATGTAAACACCAGTCTTCTCTTTGGTCCCAGTAACTGCTCTGATGATGCTGTGTTCAACTACATCCTGAAGGTAAGTAAATCCTCCCCAAATATACCGCAAATCCTCAAACGGATCAGCCCTGGGACCAGGATCCCAATACCTGCCAACAAAAAAACACAATAAGCATGTGATTTCACAGCATACTATCTAGTCTCCATCATTGGGCAGTTAAGAAAAGAAAACACTTGACTTACCCATCTTTAATCTTGTTTGTGCGCTCCACATTGTCAATGTCCATGCGGATCTTGTAATTGACGTGTGGGGGAAGTTCAGAGCTGTTGGACTGCATGTCCAGAAACACAATTCCTGCCCAAAACTTTCTGTTATCCAGGAGACTTATGGACTCGTTCACCAGTTTCTCCTCTGTGCTCACAGGTTCAAGTTTATCCAGGTTTACACACTGTAAAAAACAACACCATTAAGTCACAATGTGTCTTTATTAGATAGTGAATTGATTTTATTTGACTGTATTAGACTATAAACATGCTACGGTGTGTGATTTAATGAATAACTTTTATAACTGAACTAAAATAATCTATTTGACCTGTAATAGTCTTTAGCTTGGTCTTGTATTACTGTAAAAGGGAACTTTTGACCCATTCAAAATGACTGCATGTTGTTTGTCTTCTCCAGTCATGTTATACATCTCTTTAATCTACATTCAAGTTGATTTTCACTTCCTTTTTATCTTTCACATCTCATTTTGGATTACTAACATACGTCATATTGCTGAATTAGACATATTCAAAACTCAAAATCCCACACAATTCATGGAACAGGACATCCAAACACGTTTTGCATGTGCCTTTCTCCCGGCAAACGTGAAATCCAGCTGGTTGTGACATGCATGTGCTATGGGAATCATGATGTGTTTTATGTGAAAGTATGTATGTGGGAGACAGATGGATTATGAGATGGAAAGGAAACGTGTGGGAGGAGAAAAGAAAGGAAAAGGTAGCATGAAAGAGAGGTGTTCTGACCTCCATGAAACGGGATATGCTCATAATGGCCTGGTCCATCTCATTGAAGACGTCCCGCCACGTAAATGCCGTTCCATGGGGACACGTGTCCTCGGAGTGCTTAGACAAGAATCTTGTAACATCCTCCACGCTCCACTGAGTCCCAGCCAACTGGGCACTGAAAAAACTAGCAGTGGCATTGTTTCGAAGAAGCGTCTGAGTTTGGAAGAACAAAGAAATGGAAATTAAAATTAGCTTCAACATTGGTAATGTTGACTAGTTCCAGTTTTGCACTGCAACTTTCAGCCACATGGGAGCAGTAATGAGAGTAAGGCATATCATACCCGCATCAGATCCATTTCTTCACTGTTCTCCATGAAATTCCAAACCTTCGGTCTGGCTTCTTCCCACATTCCTCCTAAATCTCGTAGAATTCCGAGCTCCTGAAATGTCTTGTTGACCTGGGAAAGAACAAGGGTGTTAATCAACAAATCATTGAAAGTACCATGCACAAAAGGGGTTTTTTTTTTTTTTGGAAGGTTACCTCATGAATGATCTTCTGTGTTGCAGGGCTGTGTGGCGTGTAGAGGATCTTCCCCATCAGGAGAGGTTTCAATGCTCTCCAGATCATTCGAGAGATGGGACTGGCTTCCATGTTCTTCATCAAGTTGTTACAGTACGGAGCTAGAAGCACAATACATGAGAATATGCATTAAAGAAGCATTCATTTAATGTCCCATACTCTGCATCATACTGCATATCTATTATGCAGTATGCTAGAATCTTCTTTCAAGCGCAATGCATTTTGTTGAAAAAGCATGTTCATTTCTGTTGTAGATCAGGGCTGTTTTTGTTAACTAAAACTAAAACTATAAAAAAGTGTTTTAGTTAACTGAAATAAAGCCGCAATAAAATAACATACATTTTTTGTATTTTGTATTGATTATTTTTTTAAACATCAACCTGCCCTGGGACATAGAAAAGTATTTTATGATATATCAAGATTTATCAGAATTAAATATAGTATAAAAATTTTAACTTAAAAAAAATTATAAATGTTGCCTTGAAAATTAACTGAAACTGAAGTATTACAATTACTAAAATTAAAAATGAAATCTAAAATAAATTAAAGCTAAATAGAAATATTAATAAAATAAAAATATTAAAAAACTAATAAAAATGACAAAAGGACAAAACATGACTAAAAAAATTTAAATAAAAGCTAATTCTAAATATTAATAAAAACTATAATATTATATAATAAAAAAACGAAATAACACTGTTGTAGCTTTGACGTACTGGTGGTGTTGTCATAGACTGAAACCGGTTCGTCATCACTGTCGTTGTGGCTGCCGAACAGTGCCTGGAAGTTGCTGTCCTCGTACCAGTTGAGGGATTTGATCTTGAGGCCACCGCCTTCTGGATGTCCACACACGATTCGGGACACAGCCTGGTACATCAGACTCGGTGAGTCGGTGGCGTTTTCTGTCAGAAACAAGATTTCGTTTCGCAGGTCACTCCAGCTCCTCATACTGGCCAGCTGAAAGAATGACAGACAATTATAATTGGAGTCAAGAAGGCTGATTGATATGTAATCACATAACAAATTTACTTAAGAGGTTTCCATTAGTTTGTTAAACAGGCATGTCGGTTTTTAATACTAAATTGGTGTGCATCTTAAAACAATTAGTTGACCCAAAAAAGGTACATTCTCTCATCATTTCTCACCCTCATGTAGATCCAAACTCATATGGTATTTTTTTTTCATTATTCATCATTCAGACTGTTTTTGTGAACTGAATCGAATGATTCACAAATCCGTGGGATCTTTGGAATATAGTGCACACGTTTGGACTACTATCATGATACTTTTATGGTGCTTTTGTGTCCTTTCTGAAACATGAAAGCTCCAGTTTCTATTCATTCTAATTGAAAAGAAGCGAAACAAGCATCTCCTTTTGTGTTTCACTGAAGAAAGAAAGAAAGTCATATGGGTTTGGAACAACATAAGGGTGCATAAATAACAAGAATTGTAATTTTGGGAGAACTATCCCTTTATTGACAGCTACTGTCATTGTCTAACTTATGATTAGAAGTTTTACCCAACAATCCTGAATCCAGAGAGCCAATGCCCCAAGGGCCTGTCAAACCTAACACAACTCGCTTTAGACAAACAAACCCTCCCATGAAAAGCTGGTTCTGCTTTTTCAGCGCACAAAGGGTTTTGTAAAAAATAAAATAAAAGTCTATCATAAATGCATTTCTAAGCTGGGAGGTTTGCTTTTCGAGGTTGGCTGACAGGAAAAGAAATGTTATTCTATGCTGGTCACGACATTTCACATTTAAACAAACCCAACTGCCCCGAGAAAACTTAAATTTTTATTATAAATCTTAAGAAAAAGTCTCAAGTGTGTCTCCATTTAATCTGACTGCTGTCTAAGAGAAACAACTGAAACATCTTATTAGTGATTTTTCTTTCCTACAGGTGCATTTTCAATCTCGAGTCAACTTGAATCTTTGGAGGTAAGAGAAATACAAACATGTTTTGCTAAGCACACTACTCTTGCTTTTACTGTAGAATACAGTATGTATACAGACAGAGTACATGGTGCGTACAGTTAAACAAAAAATAGTAGGCAGTATCCAGTAAGCAGTAGGTTAGTATTTCGAAGATATCGACTGAGTAGAGAATTGCTTCTCCAGGTCATTAATTTTAATGCAGGTGTGGATAAAACTAACTGTGCAGGATAAAACCATGAGAGCCTTACGGATCTGACTCAGCAAGCAAACAAGTCGCGTGCTGCTAATTTTGTGTAAAAGTGCACAGAGAATGGAGGGCGGAGGGTGCAACAGATGTCCTACTGCAAAAACAAAACACTCTCACAGAGGGGGAGAGAGCAAGAAATCAAGAAGGAATAAAGTGCCATATAAACATCACAAAGGGGAGGGGAATAGGCGAACTTCATAGGCAAACTGCTTTTTTTTTCTTATTTCCAGAATAAATAGAACAAACTCATTCATTTCTAATATGCTGCTTTGGTGCACAAGAAATAAGAAAAGTTTTTGCTGCTTAATGTTTTTGTGGAAATCATGATGCACAACCATTCTAAATGCTGTTGCAAGTAAGCTTATTCAGCAATAACACATTAAATTGATCAAAAGTGACATTAAAGACATTTCTAATGGTACAAAAGATTTCTATTTAAAAAAAAATAAAAAAAATAAAAATCTTTTTATCAAAGATTCTTGAAAAAAAAAGTAGTAAGCAGCATCAGCACTGATAATAATGGGAAATGTTTCCTGAGCAGCAAATTAGATATATAGCATATTAGATTGATTTCTGAAGGATCATGTGACACTGATGACTGAAGTAATGATGCTGAAAATTCAGCTTTGCATCACAGGAATACATTAAATTTTACAGGATATTAAAATAGAAAACATTTTTTTATATAATTGAACACCCTTAATTATTCCAAACTTTTGAACATTATTTTATATATAAATTATAATATATATATAGAGAGAGAGAGAGAGAGAGAGAAATATATACAAGCCTTAATAGTTCCATATCTCTTCTGTAATTTTGCTTTTCAAGTATTTATCTTGTTTTAAGGTTGCCTAGATATTTTTTACCGGAAAACAAGACACAAATACTGATCAAGAAAATGTTTTTGCACTTCATCCAGTCTCATACCAACACATTGAAAGGTTACTGGAATTCACTATCCGTCTCAAACGTGAAAGTGAGCCAGCAAACTAGAGCAGTGGGTTGCTCCATTCACTTAGACTCGTAGCCAAAGATTTCCCTCTCAGTTGAGAAGAAAACAGAGGGGCTTTTGTATGGACAAACAGGTCATGAACGCCCATCTCACTGCGTTAAGCAAACATCTTTATTGCGGTTTTTGGAAACTGACTGCCGAGTAGATTGTGTTACTCTCTCTCTCTGGATGCTTGTTCAGCTGTGCTTGGTTGTATATCTGTTCAGCTGGGAGCTGAAAAAACTTTCTCTTCCTCCCACTGTGCACTGCTACAGCTGGCAAATGAGACACTACCGAACCCATCGCCACATACAGGCCCAGTGCGACACATTTACTGCTGCGTCACAGGCCCAGCAGTTGTCCTCGCCATTAAATGTCACTTTCACTCTTATGGGATGATTTTAGAGCCTTACTGTGTGCAGTTTGTTTGAATTATGATAGACAACTCTCACATGCAGTTCTTTGACAGTTCACAGGACTGCTCAGGATTGTTCTACCTTATCTGTAGTGATAAACTCATAGACTTCAATGGTAAGTGAATAATATGAGGTCTACCTCCACAGCCAGTGATCCCAGGCTCTCCAGAAGGTTGTCTGTGGCTTTGGCAACTAGACCGACATCAGTGGCATTAGTCCTTATGTCTGACTGTAAAAAGCAGAGAAAAGATTTCATTAAATGCACTTATTGAAAAAAAAAAGTAAGTAACTTAAAACTAAGAGAGAGAGAGAGAGAGAGTTTAAATTATTATTATTACTATTATTATTATTATCATTTTTATTACATCATATAAATGTAGATTATGTATAATGTATATAATATATAACAAATATAAATAAAATAGTAGTGCATATGTTTTTTCAAATTTATATAATTTAATTTATATTTTGTTTTACATTGCATTAGAAAAAATACACGCATATATATGCTGTAAAAATTTTTTTGTGTATATAGGGTTGTGTGTGTTT